GTAGATTGCCCAACCTTCCTTCCGAGTACAGGCTGATGGCTTTGAACCACCAGCCTTCTGGTTAGCAGTCAAATGCCTTAGACATTATGCCACCAGAGCTCCCATTATGTAGCCTGGAAAATATTTAATGCCATGGCTCTCTGAATTTGTGATATGGGTAGAAAATACAGACCACATTCTAAAAGGAACGTCAATCAATATATTTTAAGATGGTAAATATTATTCTTACTGGACTATGTTGTTGTCATTCTAACTTTAGAGAAAAAAACTAGTGTCTCATGATTTAGTGCATGCTCACTGATCCTTCACTATTTATTGTAATATTGATTTAAAGGTCAAAGGGACTAATAGATGGCTTTTTTTTGTATGATATTCTTCTTTATATTTATTTTTCCATTGTTGTTGTTGAGAAAATATACATATTTTTGTATTTATATTCTTACAGTTGTGTAACCCTTCTCACCCTCCGTTTCTGAGTTGTTTCTCCCCCATCAGCATAAACTCACTGCCTTATTGGGTTCCTATCTAAGCTTCCAGGTCACTGTTATCACTTTGATCTCATGTAGATAAATCTTAAAAGAGAATAATGCTCAAGACATTCTTTACTATTTAAGCTAAATTATAGTTTGGTTGTTGTCCTTCAGTAAAATGCTTCTTGTTGACATTAGGTCTTGTCATAGTGACCCCATCTGACAGAGCAGAACCACTCCACAGGGTTCCTCAGAATGAAATCCACATGGAAGCAGAGCACCAGGTCCCTCTCTGGTGGAGTGGGCAGTGGGTTTGAACCAGCGACCTCTCAAACACAGTGGATCACTTAAGCATTGAGCCTCCAAGTCTCCTTAATAAAGTGCTTACCTAACTAACATTAGTGCTGATGATTGACCTATGGTGAGAGATCACCAATAGATGGTCTTTTGGTGATATTGGGAAGGGGATTATTTTTTCACATTTTGGATCATTTTATGATTCTGCTTAAAGAGAGTATTGACAAAAAAGGACTTAATTCATATTTTTTTGTATTTAATTGGTTTCCTACATGCCAGAAAGTAGAAGTTTGGGTTAAAACTAGGTCGGCATTATCATCGATCAGTATGTCCACAATGTAAGACTGATTAACTGTGAAAGGTGCACAATGATGATTGCTAACATTTCAGAAAAGAATAGACCTGTCTGACTGTGGTGGTGAGCACCTAGAACACAGAAAATTTTTAATCATTCCTTGGTAATCCATTTGTTCATTGGCGGCCAGCATCAGCTAGCCTGAGTCAATTAGCATTGTGAACATTAAATGCTTAAGGCAAGGACCCAAATAGAGTATATGCCACATATTCAACATAAGAGAACATATATAATTAACTTATAAGAAAGTTAAATTAGGCATTAACCTTGTCAGTTACTCTTTTTTTTTTTCACTGCTTATAGGAGTGATTCTGCAACTTTTGTATCATGACTTTCCAAAGTAACCCAACCAAACTCACCACCTTCGAGTCAGATCCGACTCATAGCGATCCCTGGGTTTGTGAGGCAGTATCACTACAGAAGTAGATCGTCCAGTCTTCCTTCTGAGAAGTGGCTGGTGGGTTTGAACTGCCAGCTTTCTTGTTAGCAGTCAAATGCCTTAGACACTGCATCATCAGAGCTCTTTTCCAAAACTTGTTATGTCATTTGTAAACAACACCAGCCTAACTCCAGTTTCATTCATCCTGAATGGCATCCCTGGGCTGGAAGAAGTGCATTTGTGGATCTCTTTCCCCCTATGTACCATGTACAGCATTGCCATTACAGGGAACTTTGGCTTTATGTAACTCATCTACTCTGAAGAGACCTTGCACAAACCTATGTACATCTTCCTAGCCCTTCTGTCCTTCACAGATGTGCTCATGTGTACCAACACGCTTCCCAACACCCTCTGTATATTGTGGTTTAACCTCAAGGAGATTGATTTTAATGCTTGCCTGTTCCAGATGTTTTTTTTTCAACACCTTCACTGGGGTGGAGTCTGGAGGTCTCATGCTCATGGCCCTGGACCGCTATGCAGCCATTTGCTACCCCCTGCATTATGCCACTATCATCACTAATTCGGTCATTGCCAAGGGCAGTCTGCTCACTTTTCTTAGAGGTTTGATGCTTGTTATCCCTTTCACTTTCCTCACAAAGCGCCTACCATACTGCAGGGGCAATGTCATACCCCATACCTACTGTGACCACATGTCTGTGGCCAAGATATCCTGTGGCAATGTCAAGGTCAATGCTATCTATGGTCTGATGGTTGCCCTTCTGATTGGGGGTTTTGATATCTTATGCATCACAATTTCCTACACCATGATTCTTCGAGCAGTTGTGAGTCTGTCCTCGGCAGATGCTTGGCAGAAGGCCTTCAGCACCTGCACTGCCCACATTTGTGCCATTGTCATCACATATCTTCCAGCCTTCTTTACATTTTTTACACACTGCTTTGGGGGACACACTATTCCACCCCACATACACATTATCATGGCTAACCTCTATCTACTCATGCCTCCCCCAATGAACCCTACTGTGTATGGAGTGAAAACCAAGCAAATACGAGAATGTGTCCTTAAGTTCCCATTTAAAGGAAAGGACATTGCTTTTCATAACATTTGTATAATCTTCTGAGAAGTTGGAGTTTTCTTAGCCAGGTTGATACCACCAAGTAATAGTGAGCCAACCAAAGGAAACTAGATATTGAGTCACACAAAATATTTTCATGTGACTCACATACTTCAACCTCTTTTTGTATTATTGTTAGTTTTTATTATGATTTGTTTGGAATTTTACAGAGCAAAGTGCTTTTCCATTCAACAATTCATCCATATTTTGTTTTGTGACATTGATTACAATCCCCCCAATTTAACATCAATCTTCCTGCTTCCTCCCTGTGTTTACCTTTCCCTTCATTCTTTTTTCCTACCCTTTCCTGTCTTCTTAGCTTTATCCCTTTTGAAATGGTACCACCATGATCATGTAGGCAAAGATTTGCTGTTGTGAAATTCCAGGTTCTTCAAAATCTCTTTACTTATAGGGTACTTCAAAGTGCATTGCTTTTAATTATTAAGGACAGATACATCTATCTTGAATGATAGCTTATATGAGTTTGCAGCACAGTGGCT